CGAGGGACTAGTAAAGGGACGGAGTCACTTCTACTCTTGGGCCCCCTATATCCTTAAGTTTGGTTTATAGGGGGCCATGGCACAACGGCCCAGCCCCAGTCCTAGAGAACGGATGTCCTGCAGAGGGCAAGAGTGATGTGATAGGCGGAAGTGGAGGGGAACGGAACGGAGCAGTGCTAGCAGCCAATGAGACGGAGGGGAATGGCGGGTTACAGGTGTGGGGCTTCCAATGTAGTGGTTGCCACACAACCAGAAAGGGAAGGGTCGAGAAGAACCCGGACGGCAGTGGGGACACACACACCAGAGGGCATATAAAGGTCCAGCGACCGCCCACACAGACAGACAGAACCTGTGGTGGTTCTCTTCTTTTTTTGCTTCACTCTTGAAGAAAACACGGAGTGGTGGAAACAGTTGACAGAGGGACGAAAGGACGGACTGACGGCATCCGGTAAGGACATGAGGACGAACTGATACAAGAGACAAAGAAGGTGAAGGGGACGAACAGACAGGAATAAACCCAGGAAGGAAATTACTCTGACGGAGCAAGAACTGCAAGGACGAGAGGACGATCTGACAAGAAGACAGAAAGCGCGAGTGAGACGAGCACGGACAGACTTGTACTTACTGTCCATCGTTTCCCCGGCCTGCCAGGGACAGGTTGTTCCTGCTGTCTATCCTCTGAACTGTGTTCACTGTTTCCTGTGAATCCCCTTGCCTGAGGCTCGCCTTAGCCAGAGAAGCACATCGAGAGGACAGACTTGTCCACTCGTTCCCGCTGCAGCCCTCGCCCGGGCTTGCTCTCCACTTGCTCCCGTCGAAGGGACTAAGTTGGTATCCGCATCCGTGAGGACAAAGGTTTGTATCCAGTGCGCTCGCCCCCACTGGCCTTACCTATAGCCCTTGACGGGTTTCAAAGGGATTATGATGCCGCGCTTGACGCGCTGCCTTGACACCGACGCGTGGCCAGCACAGACAGCACCGGGTAGGTGTGGACTCAACTCGTTTGATGAGGGAAAGGGAAACGGGAAAACCCGTTGCCGAGAGGCACTAAACAGACACGCACCGGAGAAATGGTAATCCCGGCTAGGGATACGCGCGACCCGACCAGCGGCAAACTGGAGGTGGTAGACACACCAAGCAGTCAGCCCCTCCTTCCTCAAAGGGTAGTCACGATGGCCTCCCACGGCACGTACACTGCAGGCCGCAGTTGCCGGTCGAGGGACCACGGAGGAGAGAGTGACCTGTTCCGTAGATGCCCACAGGAGAGGCGAGGAGACGAAGACGTACACACAGACTGGTCGAAAGACCTAAAGAAGCGCTGCACCCGAATAGCAGCCGTCGTAGGGGAGCGTCATCCCACCCTCAAAAGAACGGGGCGGGAGCGGGTAGATAGATTGAGTGACGGGAGGAGCAGCACAAATCAAGTGACTGCGTTCTCAAGACAGGACTTGCAAGCCTTGAGTGAGAGCATCCACTGCCCCGACCACTACTTGAGAATCACAAACGTCATAGGCTCGTCCCGTTTACAAGGTAGCCCATTCATTCACTCTGTACTGAATCATCACCTCCGGAGGACCATTCCATCACTTCGAAAGCAATCCCCCAAAGGGGGTGCGACCAGGCCGCAGGACTGGGCGTGGAGAGCCACGCTCACGACTCCTCGACCAAGTAATACGTTTACAAGAAATCACACACAAGCATAAGAGGAGCCAGTGTCCGAAGGGCATGCGACGGACTAAACACGATACACTACACAGTCCACGCACAAAGAACACTCACCCAAGTCACTCACCCATACAATCCACACCCAAACAATACCCGTTGGGCCATCCGCGGGCGGAATGTATGTTCAGGGTCAAGTGGACGGAATTTGCCATCTACGGTCTACATGCCAAGTGAGGGCATCGTCATGTCCGGGAAGGGAAGGCGGGGCTGTCCCCTTGGTGTCTCACTACTTGTCTTCTGACATTCCCAGTCTTGTTCCTCCCGTCATTGCTTCTCACGGATGTGTCTATCCTTGGCTTCCTGGCAAGGGGTCTTACGATTCGCTTCACTCACCCGATGAGCGGGAAGCCACCACTCTCACCATGTCGCTGAAGGCCTGGGCCGCGATGACGCTCGTGGTGAAACGCCCGTCAGGGCTGTTGAACGCAGTCTAAGTCCCATCACGGGAACAAGCGGCAGCGCGTGGACTAGTCAGTCGGGACCAGATGCTCTCACACAACCGAGTCCCGCAGCGGGAACAGAGCGGATCGGAGCCCGTCCAGGGCGCAGAGGGTGTTGTGGACCTGTCAGTCCACTCAGGGTGCTTCTCTTCTCATCGCTCCTCACGTCCTTTCAGTCTGTGTGTCCTCCGACCACTTCTTCTCGAAGACTGATCCTGTGTGTCGGTTTGTTCCTCTCGTCACTTACTCTGTTCCTTTTGCTCCACACGTGTCGCCTTTTTCTCTCCATGTCCCTTCGGTCCTGCTGTCAGCCCTCTTGTCCTTCTGTTCCCTGCTCAGGTAAAGAGGCAGAGTCAACCTGCTCCAGTCTCTCGACCAGTCAGTGTGTGAATTCGTCCTCTTGTCCTTACCATGCGTTGTTCGTGGTGCGTGCTCATCTCTTCGCTTGGGTGGCTGGTGTATTGTCGTGGCGCAGCCACTCCGTCCCCTCTTCAGAAATGAAAGAATGAGAAGAAGAGGAGAACCATCCTAGGTTCAGTGGTGTGTTGGAGGGGGGGCACCCCCCTCTATATATTCCTCTCGTATGTAAGTGTCCGGGTGCTGCCTGACCCGCCACTGTCCGGGTGCGTGCATGGAAACTGATCGTAACCTGCACTCTGTGTGACCGACCTGATCCCCCCCGGCTCATTGGTCGTTATGACCAAGTCACTTTCCTCCTAGTCAGTGCCTGCTAGTACATCACTTCTGCCCCTTGCGGGACTTTCCGTTCCTATGGGCTGGGCCGTTGTGCCATGGCCCCCTATAAACCAAACTTAAGGATATAGGGGGCCCGGGGGTGACAGTGACTTCCCGTCACCGTCTGCACACTCCTTCCAGTCGCGTACCTTTGACCTCCATCCTGTCGTTCAAAACTCCCTCCGGTCGCACAAAGCTCCTTCCAGTCGCGGGCCCAACGGTGTAGTGTCTGTAGTGTGTTTGTATGGCGGAGTGACTTGAATGGGGTTTGTGTGTGTGTCTTGTTAGTGTCCGTCGCCCTTCGGTTGCTCCTCCTGTGGTGTATCTACTGGCTTGTAAACGTGCTACTCAATCGAAGATGGTTGAGCGCGGCTCCTCACGCCTGAACCTTCGGCTCAGTCGCACCCCCTACGGGGGTAGATTCCATAGTCTAGATATGCCCTCCGGGGGTGATCATTCCGAGTAGAGTACTTGGGATCAAGTGTTCTTGTGAACGAGTGGGATCTACTTGTAAACGCGGGGTGGTGTATAAGAACCATCTTTCCGACATCAATCTGTAATTCATGTGACCATTACCATGTTAAAGAGAATCATGTTAACGCATTGAGACCGATGGGAAGTGGAGTAATTGATTCATTATCGCGAATTGTATTTAAGCACGGCCGGTTCCATTGATATTTCGGCGTGCCTGAGAGTCTAGTCTTGCTCAAGTACGCATCTAAGGCCTAAACCAAGCAGATCCAAAGTAAAAACGGTCCACCATATCAGCATTCCAAAGAAACAGTATGACGATCAATCTCCGCAGTGAAAGCAAAAAGATGCCAACGCCGCCACGGGCTCAGCCGCTTTGACAGCCGCAACCTATCGCGTGGGAAACAACTCACGTCTCCTTCATCTCCTCCTGTCCTGAAATGGAATACCCGTTAGCAGACAAAACTGAACAGTTCAAAAAACGAGGTTACTTGCATCGCCATCGTTGATGACAATCGCCATCCCCGACTCGGGGTCTATGCCCCAGCCACGTCCTCTCCGAAGCACCTCGAGAAAAAAAGGTCGATACCACGGATGATCGAGCATGGCAACTGGACACTGCGTTTTCCATGTCCAGATAAAACGGTTCTCACCATAGGCTTCAAGCCACGTGACGCAACAAAGACACCCTTCCGGCTTGTCTGAGGACTGAGAGGCCGTCCCTGGATCAGCTGCAGGTGCTAATGCACCCGTCGTCTCCGACATAGAGTCACAAAATGGAACCCTGTCCGCCGAGTCCTGCGTGTTAGAACGCACACCTGGCTGTGCAAGTGGTCAGCCACTGGCCGTTCGCAAAGACGGAAGACGAAGAGACTCGCGTACCCGGTCTCCAAAGCACTTGAGGTCTCCGAGACAGGGGTGAGCACCACCGCCCACTGCAACCACGAGCGGGATAGGGCGCAGCAAGGCCCCCGTGAACAGCCTCCAACTCTCAAGATGTAGGTGTAACCCCAGGCCACACTCTGCGTGAGTGAGAAGCGCCGCAGTGTTTGCAGTGACAAAAGCAAAGTTCTCTCAAACGCAAACGGAGTCCCTATTACCCTCACGGGAAAACGAGCAATGCTACAATGCTGCACGATATCGCAACCCGGCGAAAGCGAGTTGAGACAAAAAAGGCGAGGCCAACAAGCCACTACATGGCCTTCTTGTACGGCCGCCCAAGCGGGCCTAACACACCATAAAAGAATAGAAAAGAGGGGCACCGCCCTCCTAAGCTGCGCTTCCACCAATGGAAGGCTGTCTCCGATGGTGCTCCCCACTTGTGTCCGGGCTGCTACGCCCTCCCAATAAGGGCCGGTGTGCATGCAAACTACGTAAGCTGCATCTTGACCCGCCATTCCCCTCCGTGTCATTGGCTGCTATGACCCACTTCTTTCCTGCTTGTCAATTCGTGCTAAAAACTGCAGCGTATCTACTTTGTAGTAACACACTGCTCTAGAACGTTGGGCCATGGAGCAGAGGCCCCCTATAAACCAAACTTAAGTAATAGGGGGCCCAAGAGTAGAAGTGACTCCGTCCCTTTACTAGTCCCTCGCCGCCTGCTCGGTACCTCTGACTTCCCTCCAGTCGTCAGATCTCGCTCCGCTCAAGCACCTCCCTCCGGTCGGGGTGGCCCAACGGGTACTGTTTGTATGTGTTTCGGGTGTTGGCGTGACTTTGTTCAAGACTGTCAGTGTCTGGTGTGTTGTGTTTAGTCCGTCGCATGCCCTGTCGGACATTCGCTCCTCTTGTCGAGGTGGATTCCCTTGTGAACGCGTCACTCAATTGAAGATTGCAAGTGTGACTCTCCACGCCCAGTCCTACGGCCTGTCCGCACCCCTTCGGGGTATTTTCCATAGTCCTGCCTGGGTCCTCCGGAGGTGATCTTCGAGGCTGTCCCTTGTAAACGTTGTGGGTACGCCATCTTTTACAATATTCTTGTATACGCATCGTGATGGTCTACGTGGAGGGTGAGGCGGTGTCACGTTACGTGTGCATTCAATTGGACGAAGAAATAATACGTGCTCGTCTTGTACAGTGTCGCTACATGTTTACAAGTGAGGGCATCGTAACGGCTAAACAGACCCAAGCGAAGAATGATCTGATGTTGCCACGTAGATCGTCCCTCTTGTTCCATCCGAGTCTACAAGCATGGGGGCAAAGCCACCGCATATGATGCCATCCTCCTCGTCGGATATTTGTTTGGCAAGTGCCATCTCCGTTACCAGGGGCTCGGACGCGGAGCCGAACTGGAACCTCAAGACCGCCAAGATGCCGCCATAGCCGAAGACGCCTCGCTTCAGTCCATGCTCTGAAGCACCCTTCCCGGCGGCGTTGATGAATGCAATGCGGGCCTGCACCCACGAAGCTATCACCGAAAATCTCAAGCCTGTGTGCTCCGACACATGGGGGCAAGGGTGACGGTGGCTGCGTGCGCCATCTGCAGGCCGATCAGCTTCTGCACGCCGTTGCGAATGACTTCCACTCCGTGGGAGGCACAGCCAACAAGGATCACGAGGCAGGAGTGCACCATCTCACGGCCGTACTCTAGCACGCGGAGATGATCCTCGCGACAACCATAATACCACGAGTCAGGAGGAAAGGCCAGGCCGATATCGTCAATGACACGATCCGCCCGACGCAGATCCAAGTCTGCAAAGACGACGGTGAACCAGAGACTTCCAACAAGGCCGCGAGCATTCCCACCGGGAAAGGAAAGAGGAGAAGAGGGAGAGAAGCCCTCTAGGCCTGTCTCTAGGCCTGTCAAGAAAGCGGGGTTTCCACACCAGCATGCACTCGCTTCCACCTGCACATCTCGCAAGGAGAGGCTCTCGCCATCAACAGTATACGCCATGCTTGCACCATCCAAGCCAGGTGACTTGTCATTGTCGACCTTTCGAGCGAAACACCCGCAGGGGTTGTTGAACGCATCTGATTCCCTTCGACGGGAACAAGTGGAGCGTAGCCCGGCCAAGGGCTGCGGCGGGAACGCGTGGACTAGTCAGTCGGCACAGTCACTGTATCGAGCCGCAGGCGAGGGGTGAAAAGGGCCGTCCGCAGGACATTGTAGGTGCGCAGCACCATTTGAAGAAAGAAGAGAAGAAAAGAGAAGAACCATTCCCAGGTTCAGGAAGGTGGGCACCTTGCCCGCTTTATAGTCCTCCGTATGTTAAGGTCCCCCATTTCCGTCCGGGACTCTTGCCCGGCCAGTAGTGGATCCATCCATGTAAGCTGTGCCAGCAAACTGTCTGTGATTGGACGCGGCGTGTTCAGTCCCCTCCACTGCCTCTTAGTACTAGCTTCCCTCCCGCTGGTCACTTTCGCTCTATGACTGCATGCAATCACGTGCGTTCAAGCTGCTCTATGTGCTGGGCCGTTGTGCCATGGCCCCCTATAAACCAAACTTAAGTAATAGGGGGCCTTTGGGGTAAGTGACCTCCCGTCACATACAATCCTCGCCTCCAGCTCGGTTCCTTTGACTCGTTCCACTCGTGCAAAACTCCCTCCGGTCGATCAAGTCGCTCCGCTCCTGGGCCCAACGGGTACTGTTTGGGTGTGGGTTGTATGACCGAGTGACTTGGGGTGTTGTGTGCTTGTGTTGGTATGCGTCACTCGGTCAATATCCACGATTGTTCTTTGGTGTGACTGTGATGTGGTGTCCGTCGCACTTCGTTTTGCTCCTCCTGTTGTACGTTTACTCCTTGTAAACGTCGTGACTGAATCGAGGATTCTTGAGTGTGGCTTCCCACAGCCGAACCTCCGGCTCGTCTGCACCTCCTTCGGAGGTAATGACCGTAACGATGAAATGCCCTGCGGGGCTTATGCTCAGGGTGTTGTACTTGAAGCTCATGATCTTGTAAACGGACTTTAAGTACTTGTAAACGCTTTTGAGCCTACGATGCTTGTGGTTTTCATGTGGTGGCCGGGGCGGTGGGTGTTTCTATTCAGCGGCATAGGTTCAGTCTGTCCCTTGTGAACGTAGTCACTCTGTCTATTCTACTTCTCCCGTCACTTGGTCAGTCTACCCGCTCCCCCTGTCGCTCTTTCTGTTCTACCGGGCTGCTGTGAGGCTCCCGTGCGGTCGCTGCCCCTCGCATGTAATTCCTTTGCCTTCCTCCGAGTGCGTTCCTTGGTCACACGGTCTTCCGCGGGCGGAATGTATGTTCAGGGTCAAGTGGACGGAATTTGCCATCTACGGTCTACATGCCAAGTGAGGGCATCGTCATGTCCGGGAAGGGAAGGCGGGCTGTCCCCTTGGTGTCTCACTACTTGTCTTCTGACATTCCCAGTCTTGTTCCTCCCGTCATTGCTTCTCACGGATGTGTCTATCCTTGGCTTCCTGGCAAGGGGTCTTACGATTCGCTTCACTCACCCGATGAGCGGGAAGCCACCACTCTCACCATGTCGCTGAAGGCCTGGGCCGCGATGACGCTCGTGGTGAAACGCCCGTCAGGGCTGTTGAACGCAGTCTAAGTCCCATCACGGGAACAAGCGGCAGCGCGTGGACTAGTCAGTCGGGACCAGATGCTCTCACACAACCGAGTCCCGCAGCGGGAACAGAGCGGATCGGAGCCCGTCCAGGGCGCAGAGGGAGTGTTGTGGACCTGTCAGTCCACTCAGGGTGCTTCTCTTCTCATCGCTCCTCACGTCCTTTCAGTCTGTGTGTCCTCCGACCACTTCTTCTCGAAGACTGATCCTGTGTGTCGGTTTGTTCCTCTCGTCACTTACTCTGTTCCTTTTGCTCCACACGTGTCGCCTTTTTCTCTCCATGTCCCTTCGGTCCTGCTGTCAGCCCTCTTGTCCTTCTGTTCCCTGCTCAGGTAAAGAGGCAGAGTCAACCTGCTCCAGTCTCTCGACCAGTCAGTGTGTGAATTCGTCCTCTTGTCCTTACCATGCGTTGTTCGTGGTGCGTGCTCATCTCTTCGCTTGGGTGGCTGGTGTAAGTCCCTGCACATAGAAATGGGCACCCCCCTGTTTTGGGCACCCCAAAAAAATCACGACCATTTTCAACACCATTAATTCAATCCCTTCTCACTGCCCACCACCGTGCACTACGATACAATCGTCACCTATTTCTGAAACCTCAGCTTCGGTTTCATCAGATTCTTCATTCTCAGCTGCGTTCACCTCCTCCTGCGCCCGTCGTATTGCCTCAATATTGGCGAACCTCGAATTCGGGCTCGTGACCACCCTCTTCCTTTTTCGGCTTGACGGCCGCCAATTGTGTTTCCAGTGCCTGAATCTGCAATTGAGCTTTTGCTAAAGGCCATCCTTCTCGTCAAACCCTTTTGTGATCTTCCTGAACAGCAATCTCTTCGTGGGCACGTCGTCGTCTAGCTGGTTGAATTGAACTACCTGAACCTTCAGATCTTGCGAGCGCCTCGGGGTCGACCACGCAATCTGGGATGTGTCTGATTGCCAGTCACTGGTGGGTAAGTGGCTATTGAATGCATTGGCCACATTTTCGCGTTCTTTTGCGTCTGTTGCTGTTCTCCAGCAGAAGAGGGCTCAAAAGTGGCTTCGCCATCGACACCGGCCACAAACCCGTCGCTTTCCAGCCACCCTTGATGTTTGACACAGTGAGCGCTTGCTCGCGTGCTTTCTGGTAGCAGGAAAGAAAGTTTTGCTTGCCGACTGGGCTTGAATCGGTCAGGAGGCTGAGAAATCCGACCTGTTTGCGGTAGTAGTGCTTAAGATCGGAAGACAGACAAATCGAGCGGTTGCAGCACATGAGAGGTATGGGAGGTAAGAAAGAAGGTGAATCTGATGCTGGTAGCATAGATACATGAAGTCAACCGTCTCGTGACTTCCGTGGCCGTCCAATACTAGCAGTCTTCGCTCCGAAGGGTCGGGTGGCTGGGTTCTTGGAATGAACACCTTTTCGAGCCACTCCACCGCAGTTTGGTCCGAAGTCCAGCCGTTCTTTGTCGCAGTGAATTGCCAGTCACTAAAAGTACTGAGATCTTCTGGGAACCACTGTTGCTGGACCGATTTGCCCTTGAAAATGACGGGTGGAGGAGGAAGGTGCCGGCAGCGGACACGCACTCGATGAACGACGTCCAGACCCGAGAACCAGGCGTCTTCTTTTGTACAGATCGTTTTCAGCACTGCCAACGACCAGGCCATTCTCCCCAAGTCCTTCCATGATGCCTGCTTCATCCATGTTGTACCTGTTCTCCGGCTTAATAGCCAGAATCTCGGGAAGGAAGAAATTGTTGAACCAAGGCCGAATTACCTCGGTAGAAGCGCCGTTGACACGCGCAGAGTCTCTGTGATGGCACTTCTGGGTCCGAACTGCAGGATTTCGTCTTAAAAATGCTTGCATCCAGTGTTTTCCGAGCGGTGTGTGGTCTCCTTTGACGGCGAGCATGCGCTGCGCGAACTGCCTGATCTGCGAGTGAGTGGGAGGAAGGCCCAAGGCGTCCTGAATGAGAATCCATTCGGTAAGTTGCTTTTCCTGTGTCTGAGAAAGCCTCTGAAGAGCAGAAAATGCATCCTTTCTGCATTCGTGACCATGCATGCGATTGTAAAGAGTTGCCCTCGGACGCCCCAATCGCGAGCAGCCTTCTTGGCGGATCCGCCATTGGCGATTGCCTCAAGGGCGCTGTGAATGTCAGACTCTGTATATTTCATCAGTAGTGGCTTGAAGACACATGCGTCAATTTTTAGCAGATTGGATGCGTTTCCGCGGTGAAATTTGCTGTTGAAGTTGACGCAGCCGTTTAGGTTGGGCACCCATCTTGGGTGCCCAAAACAGGGGGGTGCCCATTTCTATGTGCAGGGACTTATTGTCGTGGCGCAGCCACTCCGTCCCCTCTTCAGAAATGAAAGAATGAGAAGAAGAGGAGAACCATCCTAGGTTCAGTGGTGTGTTGGAGGGGGGGCACCCCCCTCTATATATTCCTCTCGTATGTAAGTGTCCGGGTGCTGCCTGACCCGCCACTGTCCGGGTGCGTGCATGAAACTGATCGTAACCTGCACTCTGTGTGACCGACCTGATCCCCGGCTCATTGGTCGTTATGACCAAGTCACTTTCCTCCTAGTCAGTGCCTGCTAGTACATCACTTCTGCCCCTTGCGGGACTTTCCGTTCCTATGGGCTGGGCCGTTGTGCCATGGCCCCCTATAAACCAAACTTAAGTAATAGGGGGCCTGGGTGTCCGAGTGACTCCCTCACTCTACCGTCCCTCCGCCTCCAGCTGCGGTACCTTTGACTCCCTCCAGTCGTGCAAAGACTCGCTCCGCTCAGACAGGCTCCGTCCCGTCGCGGGCCCAGTGTGTATTTTGTCCGTGTGCTTGTGCGGTGAAGTGACTTGCGTTTGTGTCAGTGTCAGTTGTATGCCCGTCGCGTGCCCTCCCGGCCACTGGCTCCTCTTGTGGTGTTGAGCTGTCTTGTGAACGCGTTGACTCAATCGAAGAATCGTGAGCGTGGCTCTTCACACGTCGACCTTCGGCCTCCGTGCACCTCCTTCGGAGGTAACTTCCATAGTCGTGAAGGAGTCCTCCGGAGGTGATAATTACGATGTGGATTACTTGCAGTAGGTGTTCTTGTAAACGGGGTAGGGTATAGTATCTTGAGTGATGTTCTTGTAAACGCTTTGCGTATCTACGGTTTTGTTTCCTCCCTTGTCGACGTGGAGTGGCAATGAGCAGAAGAGCGTCAAATCATGCGTGCATTCATTTGGGTAAGAGGCGTGTCCTTGTTCTTGTTCTACAGCTGGGTGAAGCCCTCGGAACCAAGTTGAAACTTGTGTAGTGTAGTGCACGTCGGGGGGGTTGTGTTCGTATCTCGGAAGGGATTGTTGATGAGAGGTGGTAGCCCTTGCAGTAAATAACCTTGTAAACGAGTCGGGAA